TCTTTTCTTGTATTTCTTAAGTCTAATCCTTTCTTGTGATTTGATTGTAGTCATGAGAATCACGTTTGTCCGATTCTGCTAAGCTTAGTAAACGTAGGATTTGAGTGCATTCATTTCCTTCTAATCTTATTGTTATGCCAGGGATTTACGTTGAAAGCTACTACTTTGCATGGTACTGTTTTTCCTATGATATTTTGTTGATTCAAATCTCTGTACATGCAACTTAGCCTAAACGAAAGTGACCGCTTTTATGTTTTGATTCATCATTTTATCTGCTAATAGTTCTAGTTGTTATCTCTCTAATCAATAAGTTGTGCAAGCTCTTAATAAAATCATTGCAAGCATTATAGTCCTACATCAACATGACAACAGATTTTTTTCTTAATTAAAAGGAAACAAAACTCTTCTTGCAAAATCAACACATATAGCGCTAGGATAAGATGACTACTTCAAGGAAAAAGCTTGTCAACACAACATAGGGTAGTAGCTATGGATATATATTTTAAGTATATAAAGAAATAATCAAAAGAAAGTATAACCTTAGGATAATATGGGGAAATTTGAAGTTAATAAATTGTTAATCTTTCAAAATGAATTGCTAAATGAGACAAATTAGGTTTCCTTTATAAAACCAAACCTAAAATGGGATACTATGGTTAGTTCCATAAAGAGGATTCTTGTGGAAAAATTAAAAGAATTTATAAATGGATCATCCATTGCTCCTGAGACTTTAAGGTGGTGAAGGTACAAAAGGTTATGAAGAAAAAGAAGTATATTTTGAAAAAGTGGCAAGAAAATAAAATACTTCTAAGGCTTATAATGATTATAAAAAGACAAAAGTCTCATAAAGAGGGTAGAGAATAAAGTAAAACTATGATTTTTTATGATTTATGGCATAAACAGTAAATATAGAAGATAAAACACCTAAAGATTTTGATCAAGTTAGATGCACTAAAAAATGCATATAATAGAATCTTGATAAAGAAAAAAATAACATCAATAACAGATGAAACTGTTATATAGTGAAGTATATTATAGATTGATCCAAATAAGTGAATAGTATTAGCTCTAAAAAAGATACATAAGGTAAGGTTTTAGTTCCATAGGGATACCTATTGAGATTTGAAGAGTTATAGAGATATTGCAATAATTTGGCTAACAAATATTTTCAATAGAATTATGAAAACTAAGAGGGCACCAAATAATTATAAAAGAAGTATTTTTTATGCCAATATATAAGGAAAAAAATTGTTCTCAAGATTTGCTAACTACGTATCAATTAAATTTATGAGTCATACAATAAAGTTATATGAAAGAGTAATGGAACATAGATATAAAAAATTACATTAATTTTAGAGAGCTAATTTAGTTTCATGCTAGAAAAATCTATTATGAAAGTGATTTTGAGTTAAAACAACTAATGGATAAGTATAGAGAACAAAGAATATTAATATGAATTTTATTTATCTCAAGAGGACGTGGAATCAAATATTGTAAGAATTGATCGAGGTTGCTTTGATTAAAAAAATGAGTCGAGGATATGCTGGCATTATTAAGGATAGGCAAGATAGAACATTGAATTGTTATGAAATGACCCAAAAGTTTTCCAATGTCATAAGTTTACATCAAATACCAGCATCGAGTTCATATCATTTTCTTCTAGTTATGGTGATGCTTAAAATGATATTCAAAGCGAAAAGACTTTATGAATGTTTTTTTATTATACATTTATAATATGGTTATAATTGGTGAGATATAAACTAAAATAAGTAAAATATTAGAACAATGAAGAAAATGTTTACAATGTAGAGGTCTTAAAATTAGTAAAACAAAAATCAAGTATAAAATATATATTCATAGTAGCTATAATGTTAATAGTTATCATTCAATATTATTAGAAGATAAGGCGATAATGCATGCAATAGGTTTAAATAACTTGGATCTATTATGTAGAGCAATTGAGATATGAATGAGAATATAAATTTTTAAAGTTAAAGCTCGATAATTAAAATAGAGAAGTGTCTCAAGAGTTATGCGTGATAAGAGGATATCATGGAGATTTGAATGTAACTTTTATAAAATTGCAATTAGGTTAAAAATGATGTATGGGTCTAAATACTGAGTGAAATGAGAATTTATTATGATGAGATTTTTGAAATAGAAGCCTGCGGGTTTTATTGGAAAAGCTTGCGAGCTTGTTCCACCTCTCCTCTTCTTCTCCTCTAGTATAGCTTGTGAGCTATGCCTCTCTTCGTCTCAGCTTATAACATCTTCTTCTCTCCATGGTGATCACTCCAAATGTATCCTTCTTCTCGATGAAAGCAAGCTACTTTAGGTGCGGTCTTTATTCGTGTTTGTAAGAGTCGGAGTTGTATGTGTCTTTTTATTATGCTATAAAAGTGTCTTTGATGAGGACATCGAAGATCAACGGCTACGATCGTGTCTATTTATTTTCATGTATTTTATTTGTTATTTGTACTTTTCCATTTTTACCCTCACTTGAGGGCTTTGTTTTATGTTTGCCCTAGGGGCAATTGTGTCTTTT